CATTGTTAAAGTGGCACATACTTATAAGAGGCACTTAACATTCTTTTTGGATACTTGAACTATATCGCGAATATCAAGGCTGCCTGGGTTGTTAGTGCTTGCGTCCTATGCCAACGATATTACTTGGGTGCAGCTATGCCAGGCCCTTTGATCTTGGACTGTATACCTCCGGTCAGTATCCATCGCCTTGTACTTGAACTATGTTGTGCGCTGAAACAAACCGGTAGGTGAAGTAATTTTTCGGGAACTTTGCAAGTTGATTAAGGCTATAATTGGCAAAATGGACGTCATATTCGGTCAAACAAACTAATCGGAAACTTGTGGTGAAGCTAATGAATGACCTGAGGTTCAGGTTGATAAGATATGATGACGGTAGGGCCAACCGTCCTTAACCCAGTTCGTATTTTTCCGCTGCTCATTGTGCCCCGATACCGTAGCTCCTCTTCCTAACATTTGCATTATCATGAAACAAATTGACTTTTGGTTCTGCTTTTCACGTGTTGCGTTTTTTGCTAGCGTATATTTGAACTTTCATTTATTTTAATCCAGAATTGGATGACTAACCTTTATGGATGACCAGTGGCTTTATGGATGGCCAGTGGCTGTAGAATTGGATGACCAGTGGCTTTATTAGCCACTGGTCTCACTGTCCTCGAGATCTGAAGCTATAAATGGCTATTTTTATCTCCAAGCTTTCTGCTCTGCACGGATTTTTCCTTGAATTATGATAAATCCTAATTTTCGGTATTTAGTATGTCACTGCGTACACCAACAAAACTGGGCGATCAATCATGCAGTGGTGTTGATGCAGTAGCCAGTTATACTTATTATCAGGATGATGATGGTTTGTTTTGTAAAAATTTGTTACTCTTTAAATGTATTATTATCTGGCTAAATTTGCTGTTTTGATTTAAAATAATAATTGATATGCAAAGATATTATTAGTGTTATGCATAGAATATAAGAATATAATGAAAAGTAATGATATATTAAGAAATAATCATGTGGACAAGAATGTTTCGATCCATTAAGCCGTACAAATTTCTATTCAGCACCACAACTAGACCTTATGAGCACGACAGCTGTGGTGTTGATATATGTATAGGGGGCAATGTAAAATAAAGATGCATCAATTTGTGGAAAAGTCGAATTTATAACCAAATACCAACATTGCCTGGACAATTGGCGTGTGTATCTCATTTTATTGATATTACTGGGA